ATCAGGAATTTCCAAACAAGTTTGAAGGATGACATGTAACAGTAGCAGTAACAGATATGTTTGGTCCTTGCAAAATCTACTACAGTTTTCGATTTATTAGACCACTATTCGCATGCAATCCCTATGTTCTCTAATTAGTCACTACGGCCACGTCGGTTTATAGAACAAATATTTATCGATATAATGAAATTCCAACACTCTAAGGACCATTTAGATCAAGTGTGGTTTTAAATATTTTTAACAGTTTCAAAGAATGAGGTTTTTAAAGAAATAAAATACACATAAAGAACAAAAATAAGTAAAGAACAATATCTTCAATTAAGAGTAAATTAACAGTAAGTCTTCTGTTCACGTAATACTTATTTTATGCTAATAGTTTTTTTTAAATAATGATCAGAAAATGTTAAATAGTTAAAAAATCGTGAATTTTGAGTATTTCAGATGTTTATTAAATATTAACCGGGTTATAATACCTTTCGATGTACATGTAGATAGGAGCGAGACCTCACTTTAAGTTGGTCCTTAATTCTATGACATTGTTTAATAATTATTCAAAAAGACTTAACTTTGATTCAGTTACTCAAGCACCTTGATTATTGGAGGTCGTGACTGTGATCAAAAGTCTATTTTTAACAACGGTATTATTTACTTAATTTGCTGGATGAGGAGGGTAAGACCGAGACCACAAAAGCTGAACTGACTTTATTGTATGTAGGGTTGTCAATTTGAAATTTAATCAAAACTATTAGTTATGGAAGTCTAATAAAAAGACAAATGTTGCAATGTTGTTACATGAATCAAATAGTCCTGGCGCGTAGCTATGTTTGCGTCAAAACGCCTGGGCGTCCACATGACTTTTTAAAATCTTGATAATTACATTACATGTATGTTTCATTATAAAACGTTATTTTGATTGGCTAACAGCAATCTCGCGTCATTCTACAATAAATTGCACAGGTAAATAAAAGAAAAACTTGATAGAAATCGTGTTTTCATGATCCTAGCAAAAATGTAATTATAAGTATTGAATGCTTCTTTTAGTAATTTTATAGGGTTATAAAAGCGTTGACCGTGCGCAAATTTTTAGAATGAAGCGCTTCCGCGCTTCTGCGCTTCATACAAAATGTACTTCGGTCAACGCTTTTACACCCCAATAAATTTACAAAAAGAAGCATTCAATTCTTAGATAAATTAAACTTGTGAAGAATTGGATAAAGCACACGAGCCTTGTAACTATTTTTTAGTGACTTGTGATTACATGTATATTAAAGGTAAAGGAGACGAAATTTACTTTCTAATCAAACGGGACCATATTATATATTTGTTCTTTTTCTGTCAATGTCTGAATCTACCCAAGTTCACGCAAAGACATTCTCAAATGTGTCTGCTGTACTAATACTGACTTTGTACTTAGAATATATTTTATTTCTGAAGTATTGACTGCCGATATTAATGCTCCGAGTCTTTGGTTCAAGCATTACACTGCATGTGCAGTGTAATATACAACTCTGGTAACTTTTATTTACAATTTTGTACAATTCTTTACATTTAATTGTTTGATGAATGTACTTATTTTGACTGAAGTTTTCTTAATTCTATATATGGAAGCGGAGAATCATATACGATATGTGGTTTGCATTTTTACATTTTACCTAACAATCTATGAAAATTTATTGTTTCATATGTCCAAATTTGCGCATAAATAAGGGAGAGCAGTATATGAAGTCAAAAATAATAAGCAGAAGATATATGTGAATAATAGAATCAGAGTGTTTATGTCTTCTTCCATGTCCAAAGTATATCATGTAATTTCTCATTGTGTAATTGGGGTTAAAGTGTATGTCTAAATGTTAAATGATTTTTTTGTACGTCTTCTATTTTCTGATCTCTTTTACAGATCATACCCACGTAATCTATAGTAATTATGCACAAAACTAAATGGTACAAGCTAAGAAAATGTTTTAATTCAAATAGTGCATATATACAAGGTATATTACAAAACAGTAAAGATTATATACAAGTAACTTGTCAAACCAAAAATCGTGAGATGTAAACATCATCTATATGCAATATAAAACTTATACGAAAATTAAATTGGGTGTATAATGTTCTTTAACCAATCTGTTCATGACATGTATATGAAATATAATCATAAGAATCATATTAATTATAAGTTAGATCAATTTTTTCAGCTAAAAACAAGAATGAGCCACATTTAAGTTTTTAAATTATGATAATTACTTGCAGAAATTTCAATTCTTGCTTGAATTTATAGTGTATATTTTTTTAACATTGTTTCCATGGAAATAATTTTTGACATTCTGAGAAAATTTTGAATTGCCATTATCGTATTGGTTGCCATTTTTAATTTCCAATATTCTTATTGATATTTGACTAGGTGTAGCGAAATAATATGCGCACAAATATCAGCAGCCATTTATATTTGGAATCCAATCGAACATCATTATTACTGATATAGTTATGTATAAAATTTCAATAGTATTTAAAACAGGAAAAATGGCAAATGTACATTGTAACTTTAAAAACTTGAATAAAACAGCCGATTATCCGTCTTACAGTTAGACAATAATAGTTTAGTGACTAGGCATAATAACGATATAAGGATAATGCTTAGAAACGGAAAAAAAGGTTCACTCTCGAAAAAGCCTCTTTCTTTGGCTGAGTAAAATTGTTTCGTTTTAAAATGTGAAATTGAAATCATTGCCGTCTCCGCGGAGACGGTCTTAAGAGTTGAACGATGCACAGTCTACGGGCTGAATGCTTCTTACTATCTGATTGGAAGATAATTACAGACTCTATAATAGTGAAGTTCGTTGATTGGTTGGGACAATCATAACCTAGACAATGTCTGTTAATCCCGTAGAGTGTCGGATTTGAACTCTTTATTTTAGCAATTAGATTTTGCTTGTTTACCATACACAGGTAACAATTATCTATAAATAGCCGAAACTCCTAAAATTTTGTAAACACACGTGATTATTTCACATTCACTCCAGTCGCACTGCCAAGTTATACGGAAAGTTTATACATGAAAACATAGGATAACACCGCGCATGCTTCTTTCTTTGGTTACCGATATTTTTTCTTAGTAAGATAATCAAAAGGCAGCGAAAACATTGAAAACGGAGATATCCAAATAATTTCCCGATATTTTCAATTAATATTAGTTTACAATGGAATCTTTATCTCAGGGGACGGCGGCACTTCGACCTTTTTATGGAAGGGATGACTAGCTGAGACATCCAATATCCCACCCTTTTCATATATTTTGAATAACAAAATAACATACCATTATAGCTATCATACTTTTTACAATAATTATACCTACATATAGCTATCATTGTTACGCTTTTCATGGGGAGGTAAATAGAGTTGACAAATGTCTTAAGCATTAACGACAGTAATTTTAATTGCATCTGTAAAAAAATATCGACACCTGATTAATTTCAGATTCACAATCATCAACCTTCTTATATATTTCACCTAAATTTCTCTACCAGCGGCTCATCTCTTCCACTCATTATAATAAGTGCCCCCTCCAATACCTCAAGATCTCTAGGGGATCCGTTGTCTTGCTCTACCTAGCTCTTCCTATCAAGATAGCAGACGTTGAAGAACAGTCAACAACAAAAAAAAACTCCAAAGGGGAATATAAGAAGAACAAAAAAAAAAAAACTACTCTCAGACGAGTAAAGCAATTATACATGTATGCTAGCATATTTTAAGCAATATTTAATATGTATGCATGATTCAAAAGGAGATGTGAAGTATACATAATGTATTTAGAAAGCAACCCAATTAAACAACACCAACAAAAACAATATACTTCTAAACATACGGTCTTTTACAATGGACATGTCATTACATTATTTTAAATTTTTAAATTATCCTCCCAAGTCTAGCGTTAATATATAACATAGTTGTGAATACATGTAAAAAATATCAATAGCCAAAAATTCGTAAGGGGTTCCGCGGAACCCTGTGTCTCGCCTGCGATTGCTGCTATCAGTGCAAAAGTGTAATGTTGACTTAAAATTGAGTCCATTTATCAGTATAAAAAAACATAAAAAACAAACTTTATAAACATACATATACTATGATCATAATAAAAAAAAATTATATACCAACATACGAACAGTCTCCCATAAAAGGTTATGTCAATCAAGTATGCCAAGCTTTGAAGGGCAAGTACGATAAAGGCCTTATTCGTCGCCCAACATTAAATGGCATAATAAATAAATATGAAGACATGTACAAGTAAAACAATAACAAACGATACAGTATCAAACTGCATGCTTAATAAAGTTTTTTGGTAAAGTTTGTTGATTCTGTTATGTTGATAGCCTTATAGTGAATCTAAAATATCATTGCAGAACTTATCACCTTCTTAATAGCAAATGACATTATAATAATATGATAATTTGAAAAAGAATGGCGAAACTACTATCTTTTGAATTTCAAGCGCTTACAATAGGTCTTGTATAACACATTACCATTTTGAGTATATTTTTTTTCAAAAGTCCAATAAAACCAAATAATCTCAAAAGAGAAACATATAATTGTAAGAATACTCATTATTCAAATATAGAAAAACAGGCGTTTGGCATTCCACATTGCAGTCCAACTACAATGAATAGACAAGATATTAAAAAAAAGACAATACATTTGTAAAGCTTTACATTTTAAGGATCATTTTTAAAAGATGTGAGGTACCGGTGCAGCAACATCACGTGCTCAAGTCCATCCGCGTCAATTTATCAATGAAATGCACGCGACTTCATTCAAACAACCAAACAACTATCTAAACATTTTGTACGCGTAAAAGTAGTTTTACTTGCTATTTTATTTTACCTTCAAGTTATTTTCTCAACCAAAAAACATACAATTAAGACAAATTACCAATAAAAAGAATAATGGCATTTTAATTTTTGATATTCGACTTCATCAACTCGAATATTAGCTCGCCCTAGCGGGCTCGCTTGATACATGTATACTTGTTGAAAAAGTCAGTATCAAAAACAAAAATGCCATTATTTTATATGTATCAACTAATATCAAAAGTCAACAATTGTTTTATTATATCTATTATGACTTTTTTTTATCCGAAAAGAAAATATTTTTTGGTATAATTTTGTAGGATAAATGTGGATAAATGAGTTTATGTCGGTGACCGCCTCACGGAAATGTGCACACTTTATTTCAAATAAATTGTTAAGCGTGGCCTAGCGAATTTTGACTGCTCAAAAAGAACGATTGCAGTAGAAAACTATGTATAGCATTGCATTACAAATATACCCGTGGATACTTAAAATAAATTATACTCATATAATACAAATACCGTCAACGAATATAGCAGCGCCATGAAGTCATCATAGTATAGCTATGTCATTTGATGTCATTAATAGAATTATCTATGGGAAGATAGATTGTCTTTCATTGTCGTATCCGTTGTTCATAGCTGTGTTGAATGAAAAGTAATGTAATAATTAATTGTTTTCATCTTCAAATAACTTGTTTCATAGTTAAAACTGGACGTATTATGGTATACCGTTGTCCTCGCCCGTCTGGGTACGTCATATGGCAATTGGTGTTTCTTTTCTTATGTCTTTGTGAAATATTCACTCAATGTTTATTTTGACAATGCTTACTTTTTTCATTCAAGAGCTCTGCTACTTCATGATCAGTCGTGACAATTTGAAAATGTGTCAGCTTTAACAAAATCCATGGCTACCATCTAATATTCTTATTATATGTACAACAATAACTTTATTCAAATTGTTAAAAAAAAGAAGACTTAAATGGTATATGCATCATTAAGTATTTGCATACATTGATTCTCCCTCCAGTAGTTCTTTGACACACTTGTAGCAGTATTCATACTGATCCTGCAAACGAAAGAATAAAAAAGTGAATTGCAAGTTAAAACAACATTGAACCGAGAGTAAAGATAACACCTTAGAAACTTTACAGACGAATTTGATAAAGTGTTTTTTTTTCCTTTTATATGTGCTAGTTTTTGAAAAAAATTATGTACTTTTCTTTCCAATTTTTTAAAATCAATTTACATGTTTATACTTATGTAAAATTGATATAATTTTATAAAGATTTTTTTTTTGGTTAAAAGCTTAAATCTGTAGTGTATTTTTGCTTTCCACTCTGCTTTTGTTGTAGATGTAAACAAATTGACGTTATTTCAGAAAAACGTTTCCTGTCCACTTGAATATTACAAAATTAACATGTGGAAAGTTGTCACTGCCATCAGATGCTCCCTCAACTGCACATAACTCATGTAGCTTGAAACCAAAATTGTTACAAATACTTTTTTTAGGCATCCACTCCCACTAGAATTAAGTTGAACAGGTTTTTTTATAACACTCAGGAAAATATGACCAATGATATTGCTAAAATAGATAAACACAGTTAACATGTTGTGTTTTGTTGACTGTTATCTTTTGGTCATTTTTCGTTTTTTGACCATGGCACTGTGAGTTTGTTTTCGACTTACGAGTTTGATAATCCCTTTGGCATCTTTTGCCTCTGTTTTACATTTCAATGGAAACGAGCTTTTTTCCAAAAGCAAATATTTTGAAGTAACAGGGATCTGGAGCTTGCCATTTTTTAAATTTCGTTCCAATGATGCAAGGGAACTCAAGTCTCCCTCCAAGAAACATTTTTCAATAAAATCCTATTTTTAGTATCAGTGACCTTTGAACTTCGACTATAAAAGAAATAGCCTCCTCCTTCCTATATCTTCCATATGTATAAGTTCGATTTTAATCTAGCAAGGGAAACAACTGGAAACCATTTTTCATAAAGTTCTATTTCTAATAACCAAGACCTTAACTTTTGACCTATTGATCCTTAATATTGAAAGACTTCTTTCCCGTTCCTTTGAGTTCAATCTGTATAAGTTTAATTTTGATCAATCAATGCACTCACAAGTTACCTCCCATACGCCATTTGATTTGGACCCAAGGGCGGGAAAAATGACAAAAGGAAGGACAGACGATCAATGCGATGACTATATCCTACCGACATTTTTTGAAGAGCATACCGATGTAAATTGACTTAATAACTGTGAGGTCAACATAAATATTGAAAATGAACATTTCTTATAAATGTACTGCCGAGTGATTATGTTTTCAAACAACCCCACTTTTGAACAAGTGTTTTTGGATACGTGCATTAAACGTTTCATGATAATATGTCGAGCATACACTTACACAGTTCTTCAAGAATTCTGGACGTCTAGTTTGAATATTCCTTACAACTTGAAAGACATCGACCTCTTCATCTATTTCCATTTTATCCAAAAGTAGATAAAGTGCAACAAACAGCCCACTTTTAGTGCAACCATCTCTAAAAATGTTACAGAAAAGGTAATAAATGATTTAGTATAAAGACAGATTCGGTACGTTAAGAGAACAAACCTACGCTGATTTAGTATAAAGACAGATTCGGTACGTTAAGAGAACAAACCTACGCTGATTTAGTATAAAGACAGATTCGGTACGTTAAGAGTATAAACCTACGCTGATTTAGTATAAAGACAGATTCGGTACGTTAAGAGTATAAACCTACGCTGATTTAGTATAAAGACAGATTCGGTACGTTAAGAGTATAAACCTACGCTGATTTAGTATAAAGACAGATTCGGTACGTTAAGAGTATAAACCTACGCTGATTTAGTATAAAGACAGATTCGGTACGTTAAGAGTATAAACCTACGCTGATTTAGTATAAAGACAGATTCGGTACGTTAAGAGTATAAACCTACGCTGATTTAGTATAAAGACAGATTCGGTACGTTAAGAGTATAAACCTACGCTGATTTAGTATAAAGACAGATTCGGTACGTTAAGAGTATAAACCTACGCTGATTTAGTATAAAGACAGATTCGGTACGTTAAGAGTATAAACCTACGCTGATTTAGTATAAAGACAGATTCGGTACGTTAAGAGTATAAACCTACGCTGATTTAGTATAAAGACAGATTCGGTACGTTAAGAGAACAAACCTACGCTGATTTAGTATAAAGACAGATTCGGTACGTTAAGAGTATAAACCTACGCTGATTTAGTATAAAGACAGATTCGGTACGTTAAGAGTATAAACCTACGCTGATTTAGTATAAAGACAGATTCGGTACGTTAAGAGTATAAACCTACGCTGATTTAGTATAAAGACAGATTCGGTACGTTAAGAGAACAAACCTACGCTGATTTAGTATAAAGACAGATTCGGTACGTTAAGAGTATAAACCTACGCTGATTTAGTATAAAGACAGATTCGGTACGTTAAGAGTATAAACCTACGCTGATTTAGTATAAAGACAGATTCGGTACGTTAAGAGTATAAACCTACGCTGATTTAGTATAAAGACAGATTCGGTACGTTAAGAGAACAAACCTACGCTGATTTAGTATAAAGACAGATTCGGTACGTTAAGAGTATAAACCTACGCTGATTTAGTATAAAGACAGATTCGGTACGTTAAGAGTATAAACCTACGCTGATTTAGTATAAAGACAGATTCGGTACGTTAAGAGTATAAACCTACGCTGATTTTGACTGTTTGTTTTCTACCCATGTGAACAAATCTAAAATTCCGGTTGTCTTAGTTTGAATATTATTTATTACTAAAGACCATCGACCTCTTTTCTACTAGACTAAGTATGAATAATTCTGTGATGCATTCGCCTTAAAATTCCCTTCAAAATGTGAACGTGAAAGTGAACGTCATGAAAGAAATATTATTGACTGTTGAGTAATTAAGCGATATTAGGCAATGGAATCATCGAAATCTCAAAATAATGCAGAAATTGAAATATAATATCGACATTAAACTACAATATGCCTTTTTTTATTTTCTAACAGAGGTTTACTTCTAACTTGCAAAAATATACAAGCAGCTGTTTACAGCATCGACGCAAATGGTTTGTTTTATTTGGAGTTCTTGTATTTAAAGTAAATGATTGTGTATGATACATTCAATCTTATTGTGGAATTGAGTATATTTTGATATCTTAAATATGTGTACCTGCATACGACCGTAATTGGACATTTTAGTGATTTCCAACAATTAACCACACTTTTCAGAAGATCCAACATCAGTTTTGGTGACGGTAGTGTGGAACCCTGCCAGTCATTTGTCGTAAAAACATTTATCATTTTTTTATCCTGTTGTTTCTGGAAGGAAAAAGGGATATAAATTGTGATGTTAAAATTATTTATTTGACTGTGACGTACACGACTTTTCTAAAATTCTGATCCTAGTTGGGCATTTTAAAATATTTATACCTGAAGTTTAGAACAAATTATCAAAGTGAAAAGTCTTGAAAAAGTGTAATTAACAAACTTTCCACAAACATTAACAGAGATGCACTCCTATCACAAAAACTTCTCTAGCTAGTTAAAGAAGAAGAACGACTGAAATCGACACAATTTTTCTTCTGTTACTATTGCCACTTGGTTGACCGATATGATGTATCTTTACCTAACGAATCACTAGAAACATGTTTCGAGGTCTTACATGATAAGATATCAAAAGGTCGTCTGAAGTAGAAGTCATATTCCTTACACTTTTACTTTTTGACTGCTTCTAGATTTATTGGACGATCGATGCTTGTATAAAATGTATTAACAAATATACCTAAATTAAAGTTATCTTAAAGGGTAAGTCTATAAAACACGAAAAATTCAAACGCTCTACAATATCAACCAACAGATTGACCGGAAAACAACTGTAATATTCTTTTATAGCATACGCCGTCAACACACCCTGTTGCGCTTGCATTGGATCAGAGTTTCTTCGCTTTACTCATTTTGTGATTTTATCTTGGTAAGAATTATCAAAATAGAAAATACAATTTTTTTTTATCATTGAAAACTTTCATTCAAACGAAAGTCCTTATCAAAACCATCTCAATTTGATGAACGGATTAACATATAAAATTGAGAATGGAAATGGGGAATGTGTCAAAGAGACAACAACCCAACTAAAGAGCAGAAAACAGCCCAAGTTCACCAATGGGTCTTCAACACAACGAGTAAATCCTACACCCGGATGCGGGCTTCTGCTGGCCCCCAAACAAAAATGTGTACTAGTTCAGTGAAAATGGACGTCACACTAAACTCCAAAACATATAAATGAACTAAAATTAAAAAAACATACAAGATTAACAAAGGCCAGATGTTCCTGACTTGGGACAGGCGCAAAAATGCGGCGGGGTTTAACATGTTTTGTGATATCTCAACCCTCCCCTAATACCTCTAGCCAATGTAGGATATACAAACACATAGCAATAAACACAGTAAAACTCAGTTTAAAAGAAGTCCTAGTCCGATGTCAGAATATATATATGAATTATACAGCTAATTATATGAAATAATTGAATTGATTTCAGAATAGGGCTACATGTGTATAGTATACATGTATCTGTTTCCAGTAAATTCCATTTTGGATTATTGTGCACATGACGCTGTGAAATAAAACAAAATATGATGCCTCACAGAATATATTGACAAAATTAACATCATTTGTATTTCATCATTAAAAAGTATGTCTTTCCCTGTCCAATATATAATCTCAGGTGGAAGCCCAAATTTCCCGCCCTTTAACCCAACCAAACTGTAATGAATAATTAATTGTTTGATATATCTTATTAGGATATTTTCAAACATTACATTTCATACGAAAAAGGGTTGGGTTGGGTTTTATTTAATTCAGGCAACAGTGAAATGATAACAGACTGGATAATTTTGTACTAAAACACTCTATACCGTGACAACGCTCACTTACATGTACAGTATAAGAACTTGTGAAAAAGGTTAAAAAGAAATAGCCTACGTTTGGACTCTGGTGGATACTTGTTTCATGGTTAATTATTCCACATCTCTTTATTTTAATATCCAACGAGAATTTTAAAACAAAGGGACACATTTAAGCTTATATTACAATTAATTATTTTTATACATTTAAAATTGAACAGTCGCTCAAATAGAAACGTTTAAATTTCAAACCTACATAATTTTATCGTTTACGTACCTTATAATTCAAAGAAATCTTCAGTTTATTCATATTATGGTCTTCTTCTAGTAGTATGCTAAAGTCATCAATCACTAACATTTCTGGTCTTCCTAACCACAACTTTGCGTTCTAATATAAACAAGAGTATAAAAGTACAGTTCCAAGCAATTTCAAATATAAAAATGTTAGAACAGATGACATACAAATATGTAAAGAATAAAAACATTGGGGATAGCTGTGCAGACGGTGCGTTTACAGGATCAGCATATCTTTTCACCATTCCCTATAATACGTTTTATATCATGAATGAAAATAGGGAATGACGATACAAAAAATGCGACAATAAGCACATTAGTCCACTAAAAACAGACAAATCATGGTCATAATATGTCTCACCTTCTGTCTTTCGTCGCAGACGAGACAAAACCGACAAAAAATCAGTACATAAATCAGTAGACTTGAAAACTAAGATTTGAACAACGAGAACCCCACTAGAAACTGAGGTTGAAGTCAGTTGCTCCGGAACGGTATGCACCTCCTGTTATACTTTGGGTTCCCATAGTGGCTCATAGCAATTAGAATTGATATGTTTGGTAGATTAAAATGGTCTAGACTTTCTTGTTACTGTCAAACTGTAAGAAGAATAATTGTATACATCTCTGAAAAAGAGTTTAGTGGAGAACCTATACTTTGCAAATGTATGTGACGTTGTTTATATGGATTCTTGTGTAACTACGATATCCAATGTACATGTATAGAAGGAAGGTTGACTTCCTTTTCTTTAACCAATTCTACCAAAGGAGAAGCTTAAGAGAGCAACATATGCTCATCTAAAATGTTTATTAATACCATGCATGCAATCTTAATTATAACATATTATCAAAAGGATGGTGTGTTATTTATTTGTTAAAAATACCACCCCTTCAACAACAAAAAATAAAAAATATAAAAAATATTTTTGATAATATTAAAAAAAATACACATATTTATTGTGTTTTTTTGTTGATTAATGTGTCAAGTCAATACAAATGCATGATATCGGTCAGTTTACATGAATGAAACAGGAATACTATAGTAAGCTTCTTCAGTGGTTTGATTCCAAAGGTTACGAACCATATTACGTAAACAATGCACAGCATACTAAAACATAAACAGAACTGCCACGGTCAACATACCCGGACAGCTGTAATAATAACCCATGTAAGATAACATAATCATAAACCACCAATTTACAATATGAATGCATCTCTTTATTATGGAAAGGACATCACAGACATAGCGTTTGTTATTTTCCACATGGATTTATGAAGACTTAAAATAAAAATCCTAAAACTGAGAAAATGCACAAATAAGGTGTCGTGTCCTATGGTCGAAATTAACCTGTGTTCAACTTTCGTAAGATTTTCATTTTTGAAATGATAAACATAAATTATAAAAGAAAGGATGTGATAATGACGGGGCGAAAGAACAAGCAATGATAAAAACAATGTCTATATGTGCATGTAGCTGCTTTGGCAAGGATATGGAAAAAAATGAAAAAAAATATTTTTAAATTTAATGCATCCGACGCGGTTTTCTGTATCTACCTTCATCAGGAACGCTTAAAGCCGAATTTTTAAAAACAGATTATGTTTTACAATTATCGTTATATTTATTAGGTCTTTCAAATCCCAGACATTTACAAGTACCGTACATAAAACTAGATTTAGAAAATCTTCAAAAAATGGTCTGACAAAACAAACGTTCGCTGACATGAGATTTTAAACAAACTTACTTTGTTAACTTGGTCCAACAACACAATGATTCTGGAATTGTGGTCATATATCATTGTGTAGAAATCCACAACAGTGTCTTTCACAGGACATTGTGTTACGAAGAATCGGCTTTCATCTCTATATCCCTGAAAATGAATAAAAAGCATAATTATTCAAAAGAGCTATTGTAGGAAATCCATCCGATTTTGCTTTGATTACAAGTAGGATATGCGTGCCCAAGCAAAAAAACAAAACAAAACAAAACAAAACAAAAACCATTGCTATACATGGTAAGACAAAGAAAGGCAACATAACTACTGTTTTATTCATTTTAGCAACCATAAACAGTAATAATCGAAATTGAAGAAAAAAACCTCATATTGTTTGTTGCAACGATCTGGTCATTTCTAATGGAATAGTCAATATATAAAATAATTCTTAGTAATTAAAAAATTATAATTTATTTGTTTTCCGTTGTGTCAATATGTTTTTTTTTCAACACCCCATACTTGCAAATGGACTTATAACAATAACACTTACAGGTATTATCACTGCATTTATGTAATCATTTCTTTTTTTTCCGTATGACATAAGGTATGGCCTAAAATTGTCATCTACAAAATGTAATGTATTCATGTTGAGAAATGAGTTATTGATTAATTGATCATCTGATAATTGCATAACTGATAAGTCCAAAGCCTAACAGCACTTTCATACTCAGGACAAGATAATGCGAATGTGGGTATAGATGAACAATTCTCATTAGTAGATAGAAACCCTAACATGGATCGAACCCACGACCTCTTACACTTGATGGAAGCAGACTCAAGACCACAAAGGCTATTAAAAGGGTTGTTACGATATAGTTAGATGTATTGTGTACTTCGGAACAGTGAAGACCTAGCAAAGGTTGAATAAAATCGCACGAGAGTTGGTAGAATCTTACGTTAATATCAGCTTATTTTTTATAGAACTTGAATATCTCAAATGACGAAGCTAAGGTTGCGAAAAATGCAAATCTATTGGTATTTGACTTCGATGTTTCAAGTAGAATTGTAAGTTTTCCAAAGCTTTGCATGCTCTCTGAGTTGTATTTTATTACTCTATATAACCGGTAATTACACGTATATTCTCTGCATGCTTATCATATTTGGGTTTCCTGAATTAGTATATTCAGTAATATGCATTCGTTCTTTAAATTATAAAATTTCTTTCGTCTTCATCTTACATCTTCGTTATTATTCCATATTCAATGACAAAAAGGGACATGATGTGTTCTACTTGTCATGTACACGATTTTCGATTTCAAATTGTTATGTTTTTTTCCCAATTATATGAACAGTTACTGTTTGTTTGTTATTTTGGTATTTTGAACATAAGAATTATGAATGTCAAAATGATGAACAACACAAAACAGGCAGAAAGAGCAATATCCAATATGAATATGTTAATATAAAAATAAGGAGATCAGGTATGATTGCCAATGAGACAACTATCCACCAAAGTTCAAATAAAAGGGATGTAAGCAATTATAGGCAAGCGTACGGCCTTCAAAAATGAGAAAAAAACCATATCGTATAGTCGGCTATAAAAGGCCTCGACATGAAAAATATGAAACAATTCAATTGAGAAAACTAACGGCCTAATTTATAACAAAACAATTAACGAAAAAACAAATATGACAGACATGAACCAACGACAACCACTGAACTACAGGCTCCTGACTTGGGAATGTCTTCTTCCGACTTATTCGATCGTATTAAAAAATTTAAAGCTACAAAATACGAACTGGTCTTAATTTTTTTTCACGCTCTGAGAAGTATTGATTTGGTTATAGTGTAACAATTGAACCTGAAGAATATACATACTCATAATTAATTTAAAAAAAAAGAGAAATTAATAATTTCATGTATTATAGATTTATATTTCTAAATTGATGACAAGGACGTACATGTACATACTACTATAGATGTCCATTGTTTATGCACAGTGACAAATACCACGAACGAAGTTATACTAGACTAAGTCATTATAGCAAATTTTAAACATCCCAATATTTTCGAACGAAACCAAGATAATATCTGTCACAAATTGTTGCCTATTTTGGTATTATTTTATAAAAAAAATATTACAATTTTGTTAAATTTATGTGTATGCTATATATATTGCTAGGACAGCCTTTTTGGAATGGAATACATGAAAATGTCGCATTTTCAAAGTAGAACACTCCTAATTATAAAATGTATCAACTGGCTATTTGTATCGAATTGCACGCGCCAAGTTATGGCAACGGCTCAGACGTTTAGTTAAGGGGTGAAAATATAAAAATCCCATTAACTGTTATGATATCAGACAAATATCAAAGCTGACTATACGGTATTTGTTTTGCTCTTTGTTGAAGGACGTACGGTTAACAAAAGTTGCTTACACCCAAGTCATTTAGTCTGATAGTTGTCTCATTGCCAATCCTACCAAATCTCTCTATTTTTATGTTTAAAAGGTTGGTATTTTCACGGAGAGTTGGAAATGATATTCAAAGGTTTGAATTCCTATCATTATTTTCTAGATCGAGAGTTACTGTCTAAAAGGAATCTATTATAACAAGGGTTTCAAATGATATACATGAGGTTATAAATTCAAACATTTTACGGACGCCATCATGAATTGGTTGATTTTTATGGAATATCGCAATCACACGAATATGTTCCACATGTTGTTGTCACAATCACGGCCTCCTTTTCCTCAATTGTTACATCACCGAATGCGACTTATATCCAATTCTATTTGCAATAAGTCACACGATGAATGCCAAAATAAGAACGAGAACTTCTTAAGAACCTGAATTCACCTCTGTTTTTACCTGGGTTCGAGTTGCTGAATCTTTAGCTTTATGTCTAATATTTTAAGAAAAAGTTTTAATTTAAGAGACATTTCATTTAAGGGATACATGTATAAAATCAAAGTCTCTAGCTTGTTCTATTGCATATATAGTCTTCGGGCCATGTTGTATCCTAAACCTTGGTTATGTCGACAATGGACGTTGTTAGCCAAAGACCAAACATTTCGAATTTATCAACTCATTGTCATGAACAAGTACCTCAGGCTTGTGATGGAGGCAATTTTGGACTATGCGAGAAAAAAAAATAGCAAGTTCGTTTAGATCTTTGATAAAAGGAAAAATCGTATTTTGTGTGCAGAAATGGATAGTTTTTTGTATACCAGAGCACTCTAGAGTCCATTACGACTGCTTCGTCAATCAATAAGAAAAGTAAATATCTTTGAATTTTCATTCTTATTGTTCAGATGAAGGAAATGAACATCGATCCTTTAAACTTATCGATCCTTTAAATAAACTCTATTTAAAAGGTTACCAATTCAACACTGTAATGAAATCTTTGAATAATGTTTTTATTGGTATACTAAGTAAATATTCATTTTATTTTGTTATCAGTAAATTAAAACCAAACTAAATATTATTGTTATATACAAATACACATTCACGGTTGGTTCTACAATCTGTCGATACCTGTAATTTGGCATTGCACAAGGTCTTTTTTTTCTGACTGTTAATGACGTTTTTACACTAAATCCATTGGATGGTGGATTTTTAATGGTTGATATAATTGTAGTCTTAAATACATGATTTTTTTATTATACTTATAACCGGGTTTGTACTAAGATGAGCAACACGACGGGTGCCAAATGTGGAGCAGGATCTGCTTACCCTTCCGGAGCACCGGTTATCCCCTCCCTTTTTTTCGGGGTTCGTGTTGCTCAGTCTTTAGTTTTTTATGTTGTGTTTTGTGTACTACTGTTTGTCTGTTGGTATTTTTTTTTTTAGCCATGGCGTTGTCAGTTTATTTTCGACTTTGAGTTTGAATGTCCCTTTGGTATCTTTCGCCTCTCTTTTTAATTTTGTTTTTTTGCCATATTGTGCATTAAAAAGAGATACCTGTGGAGACGGTTTACCGATGTCGTTTGAAAGATAAGTACATAAATACGTTGTAGTGTTGATACGGCAATTCATATCCAACTTCATTGAATATTTTGTTTTCAATAAACAACAAACTAAAAGTATATATTGTTAAGAAAGATCTCTAAACAAAACGAAAACGTATGTACTTACGTGGGAGAATATTCTTTACCGAATTTTTCGATATATTTTCCCTCAAGTTTGCAGCGGAAAAATTAGATGCAGTATACGATGGCCGCAGAGTTTCTAATGTCTATTTTAAAAAAAAGATATTGAATAAAACATTGATGTAGACAATCAATGAAATAAAAGTTCGGGTTACCTAACAAAAAGATATGTTAAAAACTAAAGAATTACTTGGTAAACTGTATGGCTAAAAGGCATTTATTTTGACTGTGTAATTTAATAAAATAATTATTTTTTAAAGACGAAATCATTAAAAACGTGAGCTGATTGATAACAAAGATTTTTTAACTAACTTTCAGTCTGCGTGTGTAAATTGGTCGTATTCTCTTTTGTCCAAATAACCAAGCTACCTATAGAATGGAGAATGGAAACGAGGAATGTGTCAAAGAGACAATAACCCGACCAAAGAGCAGAAAACAGCCCAAGGCCACCAATGGGTCTTCAACACAGCGAATTATATTTATATAGATATTTACACCAGGTCCTGTTGATATTTATCATATGTTCACTGCTTTTCTGTCCTATGTTAATGTTAATATTTAAGATTCAAAAACTAAGGTGTTACCTGTCTGTAAATTTGTGCCTGTTGTGTTTTTGTTTTGCGTTTTATTTGTCTTTTCGTTTCATTTAATTGATTTTGTTTACGACAATATTGGACAGATTGTGTCATATTCCTTTAAACTAGTTTTACCTTTGGAAATTTTATTTACCCTTTGTTGAAAGTCTTATGGTAACTTGCAGATGTGAATTCATTTCAGTTGTGCACAGACACCTGTCATTTTCTTTAATTAAATATTTAGACCTGCTTTAACCAAAGTATTAAGTTTCTTTCAGTATAATTTTAAAGATTTTAATGTAACAACTAACAAACGATTATCATACAAAAGGATCCTGATGATTAATGTAAATGCTAAATCGTCTTACCTGAAACTGTTGTTTGTACGCTTTCTGGTTTGTTGGTAATGTCGTACTTTCCTGATCCGCAATATATTTACAGAAATCATTCTTTGGAATATTCGTTTCTTGTACCGTAAATAGTTCTAGCAGTGCTTCAAATACTGTTTCATATTGTTCCTGCAGAATTTTAAGTATACGTATTCAATTATTAATTAATAAATTGCACCCCTGATAATGCTTTCACCCAAAATATCAATAAAAATTAAAAAAAGTATAAACATCAACAGTCTATTAAATAGAACCCATTTCCATTACCCTTAAACATTAGAACAAGGTTCTTAAAACTAGAATTTATGTCTACGTTTGTTAAAAGTCGTTTATCAAAATGTGTATACCTTCAAGCATAACAAACCAAAAGATCTGGAAAAAAATGTCACAATTTCCAACGTTTATTACAAAAAATCAATATCTATATACTTCAGCTGCCTACGTTTTGAAAAAATCCCATCATTTATAATAATTGATGATAAGACATAATGCTGATATGTTGAATTAAATTTTAACGGTGCACTAGACATTCCTCAAACAATTTTCTGTCATTATCTTTTATTGTAATTATAAGTAACAAAGTATACTACATGTAGAATAAGGCATACATTTTGCGGGCCAACAGTAGTTTATCAAATATCATAAATCGATTCAGAAGACAAGTTAAAGCAACACACTAAAACTGAGGGATTCGCATAAACTCCAAAAGAAGCGAGACCGGGTGTGTCGACAGGGTAAGCGTCTCCTGATATGAATGCATCAGCCGCCATGCGAATCCAACTTGGTCAAAATATCACCAATCGGGAAAATTAAATATTAAACGACTTTTCTGGTAGCTAGATATCTAAGACTGGAAGAACATGTCGCTAGTGAGTTGAGACACTTCCAGATCGTACCGGTCAATTAATTCGTGATAGTGATAGTAAAACTTATATAGTGTCGATTTAAGTCGTTCTTCCTCAAAGCTCGCTTGGAGCACACCCTTGATAATGAAGATTGTATAGCGTGAACGTGTACGACCGTAACGTTTCGATTGAGATATGAAAAAGCAATACGATGAGGAAGAGGGTATGTTACTGCTGAACAATGTGAAGTTGACAATTGGAAATTTGCAATCATCGAATTTGTTATAGATTATATTTTAATGTTGTCGTTGTCCATCCGTGTAAATATCAATAAAACACTGACCATCGTATTATTAAATTTGTCCCAAGATAAAAAAAAATCAATGCGTTCGTTCCTGAAAAACTCTTCTTTCATAACACGATCGAGACCAATATGAGCACCAATATCAAAGCTCTGTAACTTTTCGGATAATACACTCTGAGACTGGTAGTCCGCAATCTTAAAACGTTGTATTCCTCTTTTTATCCTCTGTTGATGAATTTGTTTGGCTCGTAACGGATTTTTCTTGATGTAAAAATATGCACTTAAAATAGTTATCACTACAAAATGTTACCTACCGGGGTTTGAATCATATTCATTCGATCTTTTCTCATCATCTGAACATATTCCATAACATTAACGTAGTTGACCTTCTTTCCATGCTCATATAATGCATCTATTGCAATAAACGTCCCTGTTCTTCCTACTCCAGCGCTAAAAATGATGTATCGTATGACAAGATCAATATGAAATTAGTACTAGCAAAGGGTTTGTTCCAATCTGCTTCTTTTACATTCAAATCAAAGAAATTATTATATATTTTATGTTTCATCTGCCCAGGTATCTAACTTTTGTAAGAAAAAGATGTTATCAGCGGCGTTGCTAGTCCATTTTTAAGTGTAAGTCCGAACCTCGGCAAGGGGACTGTGGGTCCCCAGCGGGTCCAGGCAGAGGACCTCGTAGTAGGAGGTTCGAGGGGGCAAAGCCCCCGGAAGCTCACGCGTTATCGAGAAAGAGATACCATTTCTGTCATTAAAAACTAATCAATAGCAACATTCTTTGGACTCTAATTTGTTTATTTTTATGTTTGATTTATTTATTGTGTTAATTTGGTTTCTTAAGATCATTGGTCTTAGAGAAAAATGTCGAAACCAGTTACTGTAAAATATGTTAAAAAGGAGATGTGGGTAAAATAATCAATCAACAAAAACTCCAAAACTTAAGAGATAGTAAAAAAGCAAGTCTCCATTTCAATGTTGTCTTTCTATCAATTACTTTCACATTATCTAAATATCTCCCATATTTAGGCGCAGATTCTGTTAATGGACACATGAAATAATTAGTTTTCATAGATGGCAATTTGTAATATAAAAATTCGTAAAGAGTTCCGCGGAACCCTGTGTCTCTTCTGGGATTGCTGATATCAGTGTAAAAGTGTAATGTTGACTGTAAGAAGTGAATCAAATTATTGGTAAAATACAGGATTTAAGAATAAATCAAACTTTGTTTATAGATGTTTTTTCTTGATCTTGATGATAAGCTTATTTTCAAGTTCCATAACAATCTATGAAGGTTTACATATGTAACATGTAAAAAAAAGTAATCCCAGACCGTCTGTTAATTGCAAAAAAAAAAATTAAAATTGTATTAGTTGTTATTGGCTTTGAACTAGCTGTCAGTAACTGCGATTACTCTCAGATCTGTACTTAGTGTCTATTTGTTGTGGGGATGTATAATTACCCTGCCACGTCCACTCTGTGTTTTTGTTATATGTATTTCTATTTGTATCCATCTGATGAGTTAAGCCTTTTTCAAATGATTTTTATAGTTTGTTCTTATGTTGTACTGTTACACCACTATCCCAGGACAGGAGAGGGTTGGCGCTTTCAAACTAGTTTAACCCCGCCACATTCTGTATGTGCCTGTCCCTAGTCAGGAGCCTGTAATTCAATGGTTGTCGTTTGTTGCTTTGTAACATATTTTTTTTTCGTTCATTATTTTGTACATAAATTAGGCCGTTATTTTTCTCGTATGAATTGTTTTACATTTTGTCATTTCGGGGCCTTTTATAGCTGACTATGCGGTATGGGTTTTGCTCATTGTTGAAGGCCGTACGGTGACCTATAGTTGTTAATTTCTGTGTCATTTGGTCTCTTGTGGAGAGTTGTCTCATTGGCAATCATACCACATCTTCTTATTTTTATATGTAGTCCTTTTATCTGTAAAATACAGAACACATTAAAATATATTTTCATTATTCTCTGGATAGTGACTTTTGACCATAAAAAGCATGTGTCCAACTTCCGTAAAATTTCATGAAGGTTTGACAAAGTTATTGATGTTTAAAAAACTTTTACCTTAGACTGTATCTAAAAATTAACTGTAAATCAGTAAAATAAAAAGAAATATTTGCTCTGAATACTGTCTTTAATTTGGTCATAAAAAGCTTCTGTCCAACTTTCGTAAAATTCCATGAAGGTTAGACAAAGTTGTTGAAGTTTAAAAAAGCTTTAACCACAAACTGAACCTCAATTTTGAAGACGCCGACGCCGTCGGAATCAAGGATCGCTAAGTTTTGTTTCGCGACATCAAAGTCACAGGCTCGACTAAAATGCAAACCACTGTGCATATCGTATCTCAGCAGATAAAGAATTGCCTTAAACAATAGAAAACTTAGTAGAATTCACAGTAGATTCAGACTTTAACAGAAAATAAACAAATATATAAAAATTATGACACCATTAAAATTTTGATTAAAAAGTAAATTTCGTCACTTTTATCTTCAATTACAAGCCATTGAAGAAAAATAACAAGATTCGTGCGCTTATAACGAGTTCTTTTAATTTGTCCAGATTAAAGTTTTTTTCTCCTAAATCCATGTGAACGCCCGGGCGTTTTGACGTAAACGTAGCTACGCGCCTGAGTTATAACTTGTCTTGACAAATAAGACTTAGACTAAAATACAATACTCCAATTTATGCTATATACTGGAGGATATTTCAAAAAGGTTTCTTTACATAAATCAGGCCGTTAGTCTCGTTTGAATTGTTTTACATTTGTCATTTATGGGCCCTTTAAATCTTACTATGCGGTATGGGATTTGCTCATTGTTGAAGGCCGTACGGTGACACATAGTTGTTAACTTCTATGTCATTTGTCTCTGATGGAGATTTGTCTCATTGGCAATTATACCGCATCCACTTATTTTTATATTAACAAGGGTTTTGTTATTTAATATTCAATGTTTCAGTATGGCATTATAATGGTAAAACATTTTTTTCATAATGTTGCATGCATACCTGCAGTGTACAACCATTGGCCCATGCTGATCACACTGTTCGCTTTTGACTTTTCTGTAAAATTGTACCAACTTGATGCTATCAGGAACACCGTGGTCTGGCCATTGAGTGAAATGGAACTGGTGAATGATTCTTTCTTTTTGGCTCTAAATAAAAGTTGACATTGTAAAAAAATGAAAATATACAAATGCAGTAATGTTCACTTAAAATATAAGAGATCAACAGCAACAACACAAAAACGGGAAAAGACTAAACAGAAAATTTTTTTTTTTGTTTTTTTTGTTTGTTTTTTTTGGGGGGGGGGGGGGGGGGGTATTTGGTGTTGGAGGGTGTAGTGGTGGGGTGAAGGATTACAATGAAAAGAATGTGAAAGGAACATAAACAGCAGCAAAGGAATGATATTTTCGAGCGTATGTTATAACTTATAACAAATGCTTTTAACTGTATTTGATACACTATAATTGTTCTGAATACTCTTTTATATCAATTAAGAGTTAAATCAGAAATCAATTAAGATACATTTCAACAAAATAAGTTTTCTTTGGAGGGGTTAATAGTAAAGATTGAATTTTAATAAACGAATACCAAATTTGGTCTTATTCGCTCGATTCAGGTTCGCAATAAGTAAAAAATATAGTTCTTGGGAGCCTTAACTGCTCACCTGAAATTTTATACAAAACTGAGGCTATGCAACTAGAATATTTGTGTTGAATGGAAACTAAGTGATCCATAATCTTGCTTTTCTCGTCATTTTTGTATTTCTTATCAATAGTTTGCTGACTACTTTTATCATTTTGGCTTATTAGTAGATTCTATATTATTGATGATTTGAAATGCTTACAGGGTCATTCTATCAACTATTAATTTCCCCCAAAACGCAATATGGGAAACATTGCCATCGGAGCGCATTAACTCCGATAATAATCGTTTGATGATTTCGGGACTGTAAATTTTTAACATGTTGTAGATCTTGACTTGCTGATCCTTTTTGTTGATACATGTTTCTCTCTATTTCTAAGAGCTTTTAAAATTTTACATTGAACAAAAAACGCCAAAAAATGGTAAATGCCGTCATTTAAGGACAATGCAACTGTAATGAGTCGACCGATCATTTCTACCATGCTGACTTATTTGTAGATCTTATACTGCTGACAAAGCTTACACATTATCTCTTTCTATTGATGTTTTCAAAATAATACCCAACACGCCAAGGATTGATAACACATCATCATTATAAGATATCGACTGACGATAAATGTTGATTCTTAATTATACATTTGGCGTCAAAGAAAGTTTAACCAATGCCGCTTATATTTTTGATTGATCTCGAATTTTTAATGTAATCAAAACGTCCATTGTCCCATCTATAAAAAAACTTATCATAGTCTTACTAAATAGACACTGTCCGGTGAAAACTTTAGTGAGAGAGGTCCCGGTTTCTGGAAATTCTACTCAGGTTTACTGACAGATATATTTATGTGGAAATTAGAATGTGATGATAAATATCACAATTTAGAAAATAAAAATTTGAAAAAGGCTACCATAAAAAGTGAAATAAGAGGCGCAACCGTCAACTATTCCAAGTATAAAAACATAAAATTGCGGGATAGAGAGTCCAATTTTAAAAAAAATGACAAGACGAATTTCAAAAAATTCTCTGTCGCACAGATTTAGATACAGATATTAATATACATTTGATTGAATTAGATATTGTTAAAGAGGATTTAAAGCAAAAAGTAAACAATCAAATAAGGGGGGGGGGGGGGGGGTGACAAAATTCAAAATATTTCTTGTCATTAGAAAAACGCAAGGTATCAACAAATTAGTTGTAAATGACATGTTTCCAAAGCAATTTCCCTCTATTTGATTTACAAGATTTATTTATGAGCAGATGTGAATTTGAGGTTTTAAATTTAAAAGCACCTCTTTTTTATAATGAAGAGTTATCTGCTTGGAAACGTTTCAAGGGACTTTTTAATCCGTTAGATGCATTTCATGTGAGACAAAAATTTATTTGGTTCAACCTTGTTATCAAAGTTGACAATACGAGATCTTAGTACATGAAAGGCATAAGGTGCATCAATGATATTATAGATGACAATGGCGACTTTTTGTCTCATGAAGCTATTGATAAAAAATATAAACTAAATGTTACTTTTGTAGACATTCTATCTATGATGTTTTGTGATACATGTACATAAAGATTATTTCTGATTATCGGTTTACCTTTTTTTAATTAATTTCTCAACTATTTCGTTTATCTCAATTTAAAAAAAGTTGTGATCATTACCGTAGCAATATTGTTGGATATAGTTATCAGTCTGTATACATAAAGAGTATGTTCTTTTTCTTTTGTCGTTGTAAGACGATAATTGTCTACTACTATTGATTCATTAACTGCATCAGGCCAGTACT